GCTGGGCATGGTGGTGTGTGCCTGTAGTCCCAGCTACCCTGAAGGCTGAGGAGTGAGAGGATCGCTTGAGCCCAGGGGGCAGAGGTTTCCGTGAGCTGAGATCACACCACTGTGCTTCAGCGTGGGCAACAGAGAACCGTCTCAAAAAAAAAAAAAAATTACATCAGCTGGGTATGGCAGCTCACATCTACAATCCCAACATTTTGGGAGGCTGAGGCAGGAGGATTACTTGAGCTTAGAAGTTTAAGACCAGCCACAGCAAGACCCCATCTCTACCAAAAAATCTCAGCTCCTCTGGAGGCAGAGGTGGGCCGACTGCTTGAGCCCCGGAGGTCAAGGCTGCGTGAGTCCTGATTGTGCTGCTGCATCCCAGCCTGGGAAACAGAGTGAGTTTTGTCTCCCAGAACAACAAAAACCCATCACATTCATTCCTTTTTTCGAAGTATCATAGTTTTTTTGCTTGCTTGTTTTTTGAAACAGAGTCTGGCTCTGCTGCCCAGGCTGGAGTGCAGTGGTGTGGTCCTGGTTCACTGAAACCTCTGCCTCCAGGTTCAAGCAATTCTCCCATCTCAGCCTCCAGAGAAGCTGAGACTACAGGTGCCACCTCGCCTGGCTAACTTGTATATTTTTGGCAGAAGATAGAGTCTTGCTGTTCCCTAGGCTGGAGTACAATGGTGCGATCTTGGCCGACTGCAACCTTTGCCTCCCAGGTTCAAGTGATTCTCCTGCCTCACTGGGATTACAGGCGCCTGCCACCACCGCCAGCAAATGTCTGTATACAGGGTTTCACATGCTGGCCAGGCTGGTCTCGAATTCCCAACCTCAGGCAATCCACCTGCCTCGGCCTCCCCAAGTGCTGGGATTTCGGCGTGAGCCACCATGGCTGGCCTAAGTATCATAGTTTTTTGAACGGCCAAAAGTTCAAAAAACCTATTAAATTGATCTCAACAGAGAAAATATAAAAGGTTCATCCTGCTGTTCCAAATTCTAGTTGCCAGCCCAAGTTGCTGTTTTATCTTTCCACTAAGATGAAATTTGCCAGGAGTCATTCCAAACTACAGCTTTGCCGGTTCCTGCTTATGTAAATGTCGGTCGCCATGACAACAAAAAACAACTGCCTTTGATCACATGACAGGGCTTGCTGAAGAACAAGCAGCAATGAGCTGGTTCAGCTGCAAACCTGATCCCAGGGCATGCCCAAGGGAAATGGGAAACTGGGGAGGAGTTTTCTTCAAAAGAAAAACCCAAAGTAGAGGCGGCACTGATTCTAATGGGAGAAAAGACGGGACCAAATCATTTAAACAAACCACTTCCTCTTCCATTTTTTGAGGATGGTATCTAGCTTTCTCCTTTTTTCCTTGGTATGTTCCAAGGCTCCTAAAAGGATGCAGTCCCAGGCTCAGGCCAATTCTACCTTGTTTTTTGACGGAGTCTCACACTGTCACCCAGGCTGCAGTGCAGTGGTGTGATTTCAGTTCACTGCATCCTCCACCTCCCGGGTTCAAGCAATTCTTCTGCCTCAGCCTCCCAAGTGGCTGGGATTACAGGTGCATGTCACTATGACTGCTAGTTCTGTATCTGTAATAGAGACAGGGTTTCACCATGTTGCTCAGGCTGGTCTCGACCTCCTGACCTCAGGTGACCTGTCCACCTCGGTCTCCCAAAGTGCTGGGATTATAGGCGTGAGCCACTTCGCCCGGCCTGCTGTTTTTGAGCTTCACTTCTAGATGGCTGTTTTTTCCCCTCTACCTTCTCTCCCATTGCAACATCTTCAGGACATGGGTGGCAACAGCACTCGGAATTCTTGGACTCCCCTGTCAAACTCAGCAGGTTTAATGATTATTTTCACATTTTCTTCTCTACTGCCCCTCTCATCTTTTCATACCTGTAGGAGGAACAGAATTTAACCTGGAAGTCAAGGTCACAAAATATGACAGTTGGCATGAATACTGCAGACCACACCACTCAATGTGTGGGTTTTGATGTTTGTTTCAGGCAGGGCTGCAGTGCAGTGGCACAATCTCACTGCAACCTCAGCCTCTCAGGTTCAAGCAATTCTCCTGCCTCAGCGTCCCAAGTAGCTGGGATTACAGGCATGTGCCACCCTGCCCAGCTAATTTTTTGTATTTTTAGTAGAAATGGGGTCTCACCACGCTAGCCAGGCTGGTCTTGAACTCCTAACTTCAGGTGATGCACCTGCCTCGGCCTCCCACAGTGCTGAGATTATAGGCATGAGCCACTGTGCATGGCAAGAGCTAAATCTTAGTAACTGAGACAGGGTTTCAACATGTTGGCCAGGCCGGTTTCCAACTCCTGACTTCAAGTGATTCGCCCGCCTCCGCCTCCCAAGTGATAGCATGACAGGCGTGAGCCACCTCACCTGGCCTGCTTTCAGACCTTTATATAATAATTCTTATTCTCCCTTGGAATCATAATTTTATGACTCATGGAGACTCTTAAAAATATCACCAATGGCCGGGAGCAGTGGCTCACGCCTGAAATCCAGCACTTTGGGAGGCCGAGGTGGGTGGATCACCTGAGGTCAGAAGTTAGAGACCAGCCTGTTCAATATGGCGAAACCCCATCTCTACTAAAAATACAAAAATTAGCCCTGGTGGCACATCGCAGTAATCCCAGCTCTCAGGAGGCTGAGGCAGGAGAATCTCTTAAACCCATGAGGGAGAGGCTGCAGTGACCTAAGATGGCACCATTGCACTCTAGCCTAGGGAACAAGAAAAAAACTCCCATCTCAAAAAAAAAATAAAAACAAAATCACCAGTGAGCCTGGGCGCAGTGGTTCACACCTGTAATCCCAGCACTCTGGGAGGCTGAGGCAGGCCGATCATCTGAGGTCAGGAGCTCAAGACCAGCCTGGCCAACAGGGAGAAGCCCCATCTTTACTAAAAATATTAGCTGGCATGGTGGCGGGTGGCTGTAATCCCAGCTACTTGGGAGGGAGGGGCAGGAGAAACGCTTGAACCCAGGGGACAGAGGTTGCAGTGAGCCAGGATCACACCACTGCATTCCAGCCTTGGTAACAGAACAAGACTCTGTCTTTTAAAAAAAAAAAAAATGGCTAGGTGCTGTGGCTTACGGCTGTAATCCCAGAACTCTGGGAGGCCAAGGCACGTGGATCACCTGAGATCAGCGGTTTGAGACCAGCCTGACCAACATGGAGAAACTGGTCTCTACTAAAAGCACAAAATTAGCTGGGTGTGGTGGCGCATGCCTGTAATCCCAGCTATTCGGGAGGCCGAGGCAGGAGAATCACTCGAGCCTGGGAGGTGAAGGCTGCTGTGAGCCGAGATCACACCATTGCACTCCAGCCTGGACAACGAGAGCAAAACTCCGTCTCAAAAACAAAACAAAACCATACATACACACACACACACACACACATATATACACACAAATATAGATATATATACAAAATCACCATTGATTAATCCCATCTTTAATAAGCACCCACAGAGCTTGTATAATTGCTTATCTAATTATATGGCTGTAGGCTGCTGAAGACACACACCTTCTATTCCCTAAGCATAAAGATTTAGCTCTTGACAGCGCAGTGACTCATGCCCATAACCCCAGCAATTTAGGAGGCCAAGGTGGGTGGATCAACAGAGGTAAGGAGTTTGAGACCAGCCTGGCCAACACAGTGAACCCTCATTTCTACTAAAAATACAAAAAATGAGCTGGACGGGTGGTGGCGGGTGCCTGTAATCCCAGCCACTTGGGAGGCTGAGGGAGGAGGCCTGCTTGAACCCGGAGGCTAAAGCTGCAGTCAGCCGAGGTCGCGTCACTGCACTCTGCTTGGGCAGCAGAAGCGAAACCCCGTCTCTAAACAACAGCAACAAGATTTAGCTCTTCTGTGAAAAATATTCAAAGATTACTTTTTCCAAAAGATCACCAAGCCAAACATTTGGCCATATTTTTATTTACTACATATACTATAAACATATACAATACATGCTACAAAAAAAAAACATTTTTTTAAATTTAACTGTCAAGAAAGTGTATAGTGTTATAATACAATGGCACATGTTTACGCTTTATTTCAAATTGGTTTGCTTATCACCTATTTCAAACCGTTAATAGTGAAATGTTACTTGTGGATAATTAAAAATTATCTATTTGCATTATTAACAATAAACAATTCCAACAAATTAATAAGAATTAACCATGTCAAATATTAGTATTCAAAAAACGGGATTTGCAGAAATGATTATATAAAATATAGCAGCCAATTTCAGTTTACTTTGCCAATAGGATTTCAGCATTTGCTTTTTTTTTTTGGAAGACATGTGTAAGACATCCTTTAATTTCTTGAGGTGCAGGAACTGCCACACGCAGCCCAATGGAACCCAGCAGTTCATCAGTGGCTCTGGACCACGCCCACTGAGGGGCCTCAGGACGTGAGAGGCGCTGCATGCTCCGCTGAGATTACGTATGATGAAAAGAGACACGAGACAGGCCAAGACCAAAGTGGAAAGAAAAGGAAATACGAACATTCGAATCAGCTGTGACAAGGCTTTTCTACAAATATTTTAGATGGCATACTTTCAGGAAAACAAGATTTAAGGTGTATCTGGATTTTACAGTATCTATGCTCTAACTGGAAAGTTAACAGAGCAGTCAGATGGATGACATCTAGTATCAGGGATTTGTTCACTCAACATTACTGAGCACCCACTGTGTGCAGAGCACTGTGCTAATATGTCTTTATCAAGCATTACCTTAGTGTGAGGTAAAAATACATTAAATTAGCGTCAACGCATCAGTCTGCTTGTGGCCATGTGGGGGTCCTGTGCCACGTAACCAGCTTCTCAGTCTCCTCATTCACTCAGACAGACATGTGCACGTTGACTGTGTGTCAGGCAACATGCCAGTCCTTGGGATACCATGATTTGGTGAATGTTCAAAGAATGCAAATTTATCATATTCACCTATGCAGAACAATTAGAAAGGTAGATTCTTCTTCCAAAATGAGGTCCAAAGCAAATGATAAGGTGTTTCTACTGTCATACCACACCACAGACCACTAAGTGCCTTTACGGACTGAGAACTAACTTGGAAGTTTCATGCCGTAGTCTAAATTGCCTAGATCATTTTTGGTCTCATCTGTCTATTTTTTAGAGCACTGACCCCATATAAATCATTCCATACTTAAATGGGTTTGTAAACGAAACCTGAACATGAACAGGAAGAGCCAGAAATGAAGGCGGTTTATAATGTGACGTACTTCAATAGCATCACTGTGCCCTTAAGACATGAGGGATACGTAAGTAATCACCATTGCTTCAAACACTTTTCAAAGCACTAACCCTACCCCAAACTCATGTAATACTAACTTGACTTTTATACAAGTTGCACAGAATACAGAGGGCAGAATTTGGCCTCAAAACCTTCCACAGAATATTAGAGGTGACTGGTCCTTCCACTCTGAGCAGAACCTAAGAATTCCAAGTCTCCTGATAGGATACTGGCACTCGGCAGAAACGGCCCTGCTGGATCCCATTAGTTAGGACTCTGTTGAGCTGCTGTAGAAGGGTGACCTACCACGACCCTTTTGGGGAAGGCAGAGAGCTGGGAGACTGGCTGTCCACTTAGTGAATCCAACACTGGCTTAAAGCTATGCACTGAATAAAGTGCTCGGTACATCCTGCTTCTCACCTGGAATGAAAATACAAACTCATCTTAGGAATTAACCTACTTATAGGTTTGGGGGAAAAGAATGACAAGGGCTAAAAGAATCCCAAGAAAAAGTATGAAGCACTGACTAAGAAGGAAGACAAATGCTTCTAGTAGTGTTCTTAGAATTCTTAGGGTCTGCAGTGTCAGAATGAGTCATGTGATGGTCACGTCCCATAAATGAAAGCAGTCCTGCTTGATACTATTCACACGGTGCATGATTACTTCATGGGGGTGGAAGGGAACAGTCTGTTGCCATTCGACAGTATGGTTCCAGAATGAAAACAAAACCACCAAATAAATCAGGGTAAGCAGTGTGTAACACTCCTTCCTGTCCGTCGGTTTTCCACAGGTGATCTGCACTGCCTGAGAGAAAGGAGGCAAGACACCTCTCCCTCGTGATACACACAGGCACTGCCACTACCTCCTCAAATCGCCACTTCAGAAGCTAACACACAGCCCTCCAGTTCGTACCCTGAATGTGCTAAGTAAGACTAGGAATGGAGTCGTTCAGTCTAAAAAAGATCACAGGTAACAGAATGCTTATATAAACTAGACTGCTTTTGACATCTGTAAGAAAACTGTATAGATGGCAGTTAGAAAAAAAAAGATTGTTCCCATGTGTCAGCAAAACTGTTGAGCTCTACTCAGCTGAAGTCCTCATCGGGATTCTGTTGATCCAGCAGACGGACATGTGTGAAAGGGAAGTGACCTCGTTTGCCATTGCACTCCCCTTCCCACTGACCACTCACATTAATCTTCGTAACCTTTACCAGCTCACCGACCTGCAGGAGGAGAATAAGGACAGCACTTTATTTCGGGTTAGGAATGCAGCGGACAAACTCCATTCTCTGCTCAGGCATACTCTGCCCATGTGATCGCTCTAGGGATATCACAGAAATGGCTATTTGCTGCCTCCCCAGCCCCAGCCACCAGACTGATTACTTGTGGTTAATGCAGGCAGAAGGAAGAAGTGTTTTTAGCAGTGCAGAAAAACAGAGAATATGGAAATAAAAGAGGATCCCAGATAACGATACTTTTTGATTAAAAAAGAATGATAATGAGTGGAAATCTCCAGCAGCTCTGCATGAGCAATCCCGCTGTCAGTGACCTCGCTAGTGTTCCCTTTCTTTGTACTCACTGCCCTCAGCGTTCTGCCTGCCTGCAGGCCCTGTCCCAGGAGAAGCGGCCTTCCCCTCTCTTTGGCATGTGGTAGCAACACAATCCTGCCGCCCACCAGCACACACACATCCTGGCCTGTGGCTGCTTGCACAGCATCAGCGATCATGGCAAGCATGCGTTATGTGGTCCTAGAAAATCCCATGTTCCTATCACTCCTGACCAAGGCCACTCCTTTTCCCGTATAGGCAGGTAGGGGCCAAAACTCCAAATCCAATTAGCTTCCTGAGAGACCCCGACCTAATTCTGCCAGGTTTACTTGATAAGCCACTGTCCGCCCCGCCAGCAATCCCACCCTCAGACAGACCTTGAGGCTCCCTCAATGCCGCTTGCTACCCGAGCATTACCCAATGAGGGGACAAAAAAACAACCATGGTCGGGCGCAGTGGCTCATGCCTGCAATCCCAGCACTTGCTGAGCCTGACACAGGTGGATGGATTCCCTCAGCTCAGAAGTTTGAGACCAGCCAGCCTCTGGTCTCTTTTACCAAGCAACATGGTGAAACCCGTCTCTAAAAAAAATACAAAAATTATCCTTACGCATGGCTTGCTTAAAAATCAATAAAAAATATACAGACAAAAATTAGCTGGGTGTGGTGGTGGCTGCCTATAGTCCCAGCTACTTGGGGGGCTGATGTGGGAGAATTGCTTGAGCCCAGGAGGCAGAGGTTGCGCTGAGCCGCGATTGAGCCACGGCACTCCAGCCTGGGCAATAGAGCCAGACCCTGCCTAAAAAAAACAAAACAAACAAACAAAAAATCCCTATGTTTTGGCACATATTTATAAAATGTCTCTTGTTGCAAAATGAAATATGAAGTTCTAACAATCTACGATATACTTCTATTATCCTGCTACAAAACTTAAGAGGTCAGCCTAATGAATGGATTCACCCTGTGGCAAAATACTAAATGGTGACATAAAGCCTCAGATGTCACTGGACTAAAGAGTTTTTTTTTTGGTTGTTGTTTTTTTGTTTGTTTTGAGAATAAATTTTGTTCTTGTTGCCCAGGCTGGAGTGCAATGGCACGATCTTGGCTAACTGCAACCTCCGCCTCCTGGGTTCAAGCGATTCTCCTGCCTCAGCCTCCCGAGTAGCTGGGATTACAGGGGCACACCACCATGCCCAGCTAATTTTGTATTTTTAGTAGAGACGGGTTTTCTCCATGTTGGTCAGGCTGGTCTTGAACTCCTGACTTCAGGTGATCTGCCCGCCTCGGCCTCCCTACGTGCTGGGATTATAAACAGGTGTGAATCATTGGGCCCACCAACTAAAGAGCTTTATGATTGGCCGGGTGTGGTGGCTCACGCCTGTAATCCAAGCACTTTGGAGGCCAAGGTGGGCAGATCACCTGA